GAAATCTGCCTGCCTCTGCCTCCCAAGTGCTGGGATTAAAGGTGTGCACCCCTGCTGCCCGGCTTAGGGTTGGTTTCAACTGGAGAATGACAGTGGGCGCTTGGTTAAGACAGGAAGGCTGGTATCTCTGCTGTTGGGTTCTGTTCCCTGCCTGTTTATGCTCTCTTCCCATGGTTCCTGGGTGGTGCTACCCCAGGAAACCTTTCTCATACAGTTCCACCCGGAGAGAGATCACTTACCTTCACAGTTTTCCTCATCGCTACTCCAGTCCCACTGCCTCTGGACATTCCAACCTTTAGAAACACAATCAACCAGCAAGACCGTCAGAAGACACTCTTCCCTGTTCCCTCTGTGTCTCTTGTAGTCAGGGGGGGAGGGGGGAGAGGAGGTTTGGTTTGGAGGTGTGGCAAGTCCTCCAATGCAGCGATATTTACAGGAGGTAAAAACCTCCCAGAGGTGGCTTGAGAGGGATGTAGTCAGACTGACGGAAGCCAGCAGGCTGGCTTAGTAGGTAAAGGGTGCTTGCTGCCAAGCCTGGTGATCCGAGTTTGGTCTTGGGAATCCACCCCGTGCAAGGAGAAACCCGACTCCCTCAAGTTGTCCTCTAACCTCTATGCTCGTGCTCACATGCTCTCTCGGGCTCGCACACAGCTTATAAAGGGATGCTGTTAAGTGGGTCACTGGGTCACCGCTCCAACATGGAGTTGATGTGGTTTTCCCGGCTCCTGCTTGGTTCCTTTCAGAGTGGTGTTTTATTAGAAAGAACACGCCGGATGTCTGACTCCCTTGCACTTCACACCTCAGCTTTCACAGCCGCTTTCTTTCAGCTGTGTAAGTATTTGCTGTGTGTGTGTGTGTCTGTGTGTGTGTGTGTGTGTGTGTGTATATTGCTGTACTGACAGAACTGTGAGCTAAACCTCCCTCTTTGGCAAGGTCAAACGTTTTATGATGGTCATGGGAAGCTGACTGATAGTAGATTTCGGCCCTCTTCTCTGGGTCCTCAGATGTTTACTGGGGTCTGTGGACTCTGAGTCTGCACGGTCTTACAAGCCTTCCAGTAGTAGAGAGAAGGTGGAGGATCAAATTTCAATTCTCCTCACCCAGTGTAGCTTCTACTTCCGAACATACCATTCTTTCTCTCTTTCCACTTGACCCTGACA